AACAAATTCTTAATTGTTCAATTCATTATATCATCTTGTAAACACAAAGTTAATTAAATTTATTGTGATTTTCAAATGCTTATCTTGTAGCTTCTGGGATTTTTCAGCAAATATATGCAAAAGTGCAGGAAAAAAATATTGCAAAATGGTGTGATTTTTGGTCAATTGTGCAGGATCGCACCATTGCACTTTGCCAGATGCTCAGCTCAGTGTTGAGCCGCATGTATGTGGTAAAGACAAAATATAGTTGCATAGACACTTGACATATAAATGAACTTCTTTGAGAGTGCCCTAGTAGGCTTTGTGTTTGTTATGTTATAATGTTGTATGTCTTTGAAGTGGATTTGTAAGGATTTTTAGAGACCTTTAGTTGGGAAAAACAGCATCACTGCCTTAGAGATTTACAGGGGCCCCAAATAGAGACTCTATGCCCTTATGCTACCCAGCATTGCAGGGAGTTCCAATTTAGTTGTGTATATTAACTTTCCTGGTATAGTATGCTATACTTACATCTGTATTATATGTGTGTTAAAGCTTTCATTACTAAAATACAGTCAAACCCGGCTTTACAGACACCCGCTTAATATTAACCTGCTTGCAGTCCTCTTTTTTTTTTCGGGAAAAGGGGAATAAAGAACTCCTGATACATTTACTTCATGAGTCGTCTGCCACCCCCTAATTAATGTATCTGTAAACATTTGTGTTAGCATGTCAGATTTTACCGGAAATTCAAGCGGTTTGCAACAAAGGCGGCTATTTTCAAAACATATTTATCTACTTGCAAGGCGAGCAATGAATTGTAAAGTTGATAAAGTAGTCGTTAGTGAAACCATCACAGATTTTAACTACCAAGTTAGCACTGCTGTTATTGCGAATATTGCCTTATCATTGCCGTGTGATACCTTTGTTCATACCGTCAAGTCAAACGTTGATAATTCATTAAAAGCAGTACTAAGTGGAGCAATGGAATTCTGTATTTTACTGGAAGTGGTCAAACATATTGGAATTTATTCTGCTGCAAGAAGTCTTTTGTGGTCTTTCATCAGTTTGCAAAATTGCGGGTTTAAAATCGTCAGTAAGTATTAATTTTTTAGACACTGTCCCGCAGTTGAACTCAATCAGAAATCAAGACAACAATTCTGCCTAGTACGAGCAAGAAAGCATCTTAGAAGAAATTGCAGTGTCCTTACTGTTGACAAATAACAACTTGTCTTCTCAGCTGTCAAAGTTTTTCTCTGTTAATTGTCGACTTGATTCATTAAAAAAGTATTGATTTTTAAGACCTAGCTTTAAAACCTAAGCTTGCTGATAAAAGAATTCCCGTATAATCTTGTGGTCTCTGTCCTGAATAAAGACACAAAGGTGACAAAACCTATCTAATAGCACCAGAGGTCAGATATGTTGCTTGACCAGTTGCTACAGGGCTTTGAAGAATCTTTTGTTTTTCGACCAATCAGAAAAAAGTCCTCATTCTGGACCATGGGCGACATGTGCTGGTAGTTACTGTTGTACATTGGACATTGTCCGTCTAATATTACAATAATGTTCAGACATAATGTCCGAGCACTTAGTTGACTTAGCTTTTGTCTTAGATGCTTTTTTACATCCTTGAGTTGATATCGAAAACATTAAAAGGTCAAATGTTGTGATGAAAAGGTAAACTTTGCATTGCAGTGAAAGCGGACTGTTGAGGAAACACAAAAATGTCTAAGTATTGTATTTGTCTTCCTATCTGGCAAAACAAAGCAGCTCCCTTTGCCAGGGAATTACTGGGCTCTAGTTTCCATATATGGAAATCTGATTTATGCAACTGAAAGCACATGCTTTGGAACTTAAATGGCTACCTGCTTCAATGATCCAAAAGATGAAGAAAGCTTTGTAAGATGAACAAAAAAACTTTCCGCGTGATTTCTTCGCCAGTTTGAACAACAACCAGAAGGAAAGGCATTGTTCAAAAGTCAATGTAACCATAAATTTGGAGAGATGAAAGAAGATAGCTTTACAATAGTGCAAATGATGACTATCTACCTTTGAAGTTGGCTGTGAACATGTAGCACACATAAAATCGTGTACACCAATTTTTTTTTTCTGAACTGAATTTCCATTTTAAAAACTACTGTTGTTGTGGGCACTCTTTCTTTCTGAGCATGTACAATAATGTAATGTAATAAATACAAATAAGCATGTTGTAGTCAACACGGAAAGCATTCCCCAAAACATCAACTAAATTGGAAGAAATGTTCTAAACCAACATATCATTTTCCTGAATTACGCTAACTGCCATCTGAATAAAAATCACATTCAAGCAAAATTTAATGAACTTGCCAAAGATTATCAACAAAAATTGGCAGAATTGTTCAAATTGGTGATACAAGGGTGAAATTTTCAGGATAAGTGCCTTTTAGCATGTAGATTTATATTCCAATGAAATGCTCATAAGCATATGTTTTAAGACGTTCTCCCCAGGTGGTCAGCAGTTATGTATTGCGGACTCAAGGCCTGCAGTATTTATGCACAAACTCAACGAAATGTCGCCTGAAATGCCCAAATATAATTACAAGAATCATATTGTGTGATAAACCTCTAATATATTTTTTGGCCCAGATAAAATGGCCTTTTTAAAAAATTGTAATTACATTAGACGTAAAACAGTCAAACATGGAAGTATTTAACTGGAAGTCATAAAAAGCCATACAATTTTTTTGCTAAGACAACTGCAAAACACTGTCATAGGGAACCTCAGTCTGATGCTACACATGCCAGACATGGCCTTTAGTAATGGAGAGCCTCTATTGCCAGTTTCTCAAAGACTAATATATTCCATGTTGATATCAGAAATAAAACTCAATGGAGATTTGCTGTACAAATTAGGATAAGCCATAATGTATGGCAGTGTGAAGAACATTTTGGCATTTCTAGGAAGACCAAGGAAACAGTGTCTGAAATTGACGCATAGTGTGTCCTTCAGAAATAAAAAGTCACTGTTTACTATTGATAGTGTGGACAACATATAGGAACTGAACCCAAAATCCCTTACAGCAAAGGAGTCAACTAACAATCCAACTCTTAATTTACAGAAATCGAGTGTAAATGAATATTGACCTATGAAATAGGAAAACTGTTAATCTACCTACGTCTACTCTGTTATTCAGCCACATTAAGGAGCAAGCATTGAAGAAAGATAACTCTGTTCCTAACAAACTCAAGGAAGCGCCGCAGCACTTATTAAATTTTTCATGCCTCAAATGCGTTGCTTAGTTTGAGGGTGGCATTTATTTACCAATAATAAACAGTGACTTTATCTTTGAGGGTATGCTAATTAATGACCGACCAATTTGTGAATATGTCCTTTCAAAGTAAAGGTTTGAAAGGACATGTCCTTTTAAGTAAGAAAAATTATTTCCAGCACTGGGCAGACTATGCACAAAGTAAATGTATCAAGCATCCCTTTCCCCTCGTCTCCCAAACAAAAAGGGAAGAAGGACACCTGATCACAGCTTAGCGTAATATTGACACCTCAGTATTACGGACAGTTTAATTTGCCCCTGGGGAAAGAAATCCCTTAGAGTTTCTCTAAATTCAACTCGCTCGATATGGACACCCCATTAATGCAGACACTGTCTATGGCCCCCTTGGTGTTTATATAAACGGGGGTTGACTGTAGTATCATAGTATAGGCTTTTAAGCTTTAGAAGCTGGCTTTCCACAAATTTTGATTTTTTAATGGTAAATTTTGAATGTTAAAAAGTTTGACCAGGGGCAAACTACAAAATAAAGATCCTATAATCCTTTTCTTGTCTGTTGGCATCTGGCAAAGCGAATAAAACTGTCTTCTTGGTGTTCATGGACTTAAAATTAATTAAATACAGTAAAACCTTTACCACATGGACACCTTTGGGACCTTCCCAAGTGTCTGTTTAATAGAGGTTTGTAAAAATTGTGCAATGTTTGTTAACAATTAACATTCAACGGTTACTCTGTACTGTGATAAAGTTCCATGTTGGTAAGGAAGCTAAGGAAGCTGTGCTGTACCTTGTGCAAGACTTTTAGGTGAACTTTGATTGTAGATGACAATTGTATGGCCTGATATCAGTCTAACGTACAGATTGTTGATGGCGAAATGTATTATCTTTATTAATTGACTACAGTGTGTATTTCAAAGGCGTAATCGAATACTTCTATTGTCAGTTCAGTCCAGCGTCTGCTTAATAGAGGTTTTTAACAATAGAAATTAGCCAAATACAATTTATCCAAGTGTCTGCGTCCACTTAATAGAAGTGTCTGCTGAATAGGGATTCGTTATAAAGGGAAATATAAGACATTAATTTCGGGACCCAGGTTAGTGTCCGCATATTAGAGGGTGTCTGCTTCATTGGGGGTCCGCTTAATAGAGGTTTTACTGTATTGGGTCTTCGATTTTGGGTCTTTGGTCTTTGGTCTTCATTTTGTAGACACCCATAATGCAGCTGGAGAATTTTACATGTGAACTCCAAAGTTTTGCACGCACTGCCTTCTGCTGCTTCAAGGTTTGTAAGCAATCAGAATCTTTAAGCAGCTATCTTGATATTGTGAAGACACAAGCGCAGCCTGATACAGAAATAAAGAATGCTAATACTTTTCTAACATAAATCTTCCATTGTTTGAGCTGATGTTAGTGATAGCTGTTTAAATGGTTTGTGACTGTTTTTTGCCGTCTTAATGCTTTCTGAAATTAACTGAACAAAATAATACTGTTTGCTGTTGAAACAGCTTGTTATATATTTCTAACGGATGGCGATTACCATTTTAATGGAATGGGGAAAAATATATGAAAACGGTTTGTCTAATGGATTAATGCTTTGATAAAGCCTTTTAACTGCATGTGAGGTCACGTATTATCCTGCCATTGTCTCTGCTCTTCAAATTGAGCCATTTAGATGTAGGAGAAGAACCCAAATACCTTACTTTTTTGTCTTAGTGGCAAAAGTACTGTAAGAAAAATCAAGTGCTTACTGTGAAAATGGAAGTAATATGTTTTTGTGAGGGATAAAGGTCGGAAGTACTTGTGGTTTTTATAAGAGAATTCAACAAGGAAGGCTTTATATCTTACTTGGCCACTGGAGTGTGAATTTTCATTCTCATGTTTGATCATTCTTCAAGTGGAAAAGTGTTTTGCCAGTGGACCTTTCTTTCATGGTTCACCTGTTTTGAAGTTGGTGACCTAAAGCTTGAGTGTCATACTACAACAGAGCCAACAGAATGTTGCATTTTGTAGTGCAGTTGCCCAGGAACATTAAAATCTGGACGTCATGCTTTTCAAAAGGTCACTGGACTATACTTTTCGGCTGATTTCCATGTCTTTCCAACTTTTTGCAGCATATTCTTTATCTCTGTTGAGAACTGAAGTTCACTTACATACCTCTAACTTGCAAATGCTTTTGAATAGAGCTTTTCGTAATGAATTTGCAGTTCCTTTACTTTAATGTCCTTTCTTTTATTTTTTTTATCAAGGGATTGTTTCATTCACATTTTCGAAAATTTTCTACACAATTAAAGGAAAAATACTGAAAGTGCTGGCAAAAAATGTGAATATTCAAGGTCTCTGATACAGTTGAACCTTCATCAAGTGGCCACCCTCTTGGTACCGGCAAGTGGCTGCTTTACGGAGGATTGTCACTCAAATTAGCGTAATCTTTAGCAGAAAACCAAACAAACATGTGACAGAGAAACATTACTGGTACACAGTTGGTCGTCAACTTCTATCTCAGACTGTATTTTCTCTTCTTTTCTACAATTCTTGTGGGTTTCTGATCACTGACGGATTAATAAAGGGTGGTTGCTTGGGTGTTCAACTGTAGACATTTTTCTGTGAAAGATGTGTGGCACCAGATAATTCTGACAGTATCATATTCTTCGACCTCTTGGGCAACCGTTAAGTCATTATCTCTATTAAAAATTAATTAAAGTTAAGACAATCATATAGTTTCTGTATTGTGTCACATCTTTTATTACAGTGTACTAGTGTTTAGAGAAAGGGAAGATGGTTAGATTGCATATTCATTGTAGGCATTCTCAAGAAGCAGGGTGAAACAATTGAGCCTGTTGTTGGTTTTTGTGTAAATGTTTCCTAAAAAAAAAATTAAAATTGCCCTCTGTTGTTTGTTTGTTTTGTTGAAAAGGGTTGGTAAAACATCACTCATGAACCAGTATGTGAACAAGAAATTTAGCAATCAATACAAGGCAACAATTGGAGCAGACTTCCTCACAAAAGAAGTTATGGTTGATGACAGACTAGTCACCATGCAGGTTAGGACTTATTCCACTTCATTATTCTTCATTCCTTTGTTGTTGTTGATAGGTTACCTCTTGCAAAACACAAATGTCTTGGCTTTGTTAACTGAGTGGATGAAGTCAGTTGGCTAACTTAAGGGATTCAAAAGCTGACATCTTGAGCACAGATTTTGACAGCTTTTGAATCCCTTCATTTTGTCAAAGAAGTGTTTTACTTTCCCCCAAGCCCCAACACAGCTTTACACTGTTCCACCTTTAGAAAGTACCAGAAAAAATAACAAATAAGCTGCCATGGCAGATAAACCAAAACCTGAGTCTGGAAGCTTGGAATTGAGCCGACGCTTGTTGTCAAAATGTGTAGTGTAGCCAGGAAAAAAAACTTGTATTTTTTTAATGTAGACTTTGTAATGATAAAACAGTTTTTATTAGAATACACAGATTTACAATACTATTCACGAAGTGCTAGTATTGAAAATGCTGTGTATTTAAGATGCAAAAGCATGCATGAAAATTATGTGAAATTATATGGCCCTAAAATTCTATGAACACAGCTTGTGTACTTTATGTTACCTGGAAACAAGCTTGTTTTCAACTATGGCTGAACATCAGTGAGGCAGCATGCTATTCTTGAGCAGTCATGGGCATACCTGCCAACTCTTCCAGTTTTCCCAGGAGTCTCCAAGTTTTCATCAAATCTCCCCGTCTCCTGGTTAGAGCACCAAATCTCCCGGGAAATACCTACCGTGACCTTTTTCAATTTTTTTTTCATCAATTTCATTAATTTGGAGGTGTCAAAAAAGGAAAATAAAACAAGAGGTGGATTTAGCGCTCTTATTTGAGCTGTTCTCTGTTGGAAAATGTAAAACAGAGCATCATCATTGGTTAGAAATGAACAATACATGGTAGAAAGTTGGAGCGGTTTTCAAATGCTGTTATCGACATCGGGAACATTCAAAAGGCCTTTGGGTGATTTTCAGAGATTAGTTAGACATTGTTGAAAATGACATTCTTACAATGCAAAGATTTCTAGATGTCTCCAGATTTTTGTACTGTGGGGGCTAGCAGACATGCCTGGGTGTGAGCTGTTGGTTAAGTAAATAGATGTAATGGTATGTAATGGTGGAAGAAAAGAAATACTCTGTAGGAGTTTTCCTTCAGCCCCCTCCCAGAAAAATAAAAAGGCTTAATTGGTAAAAAATATTTTTAGTGCTACATTTCTGATTTGTTGATATAATTGTTGTTTCACATTTACGTGTAGCTCAATCCCTTAGCCGAGGTTTAAGTTATGTCTACCTTTCTGTTAAATGTTTGTTTGTTTTGAAATATCAGATATGGGATACTGCAGGTCAAGAAAGGTTTCAAAGTTTGGGTGTGGCATTTTATCGTGGTGCTGATTGCTGTGTGCTTGTTTTTGATGTAACACAACCCAGTACTTTCAAAACCCTTGACAGCTGGAGAGATGAGTTTCTTATCCAAGCAAGTCCGAGAGACCCAGAGAATTTCCCCTTTGTTCTCCTTGGAAACAAAGTTGATTTGGAAAACAGAGCAGTAAGTTGGTTATTTTATGCCTGCCACTAAGCTGTTGTTTCCCTCTTTTGTTTTTGTTTTTAGGACATTGCAAAAGTTACAAGAGCTTGCTCTGCTTCTACCCTCAGGGTTGCAGGGGACACCTTGTGCTCATTATTATGCATTTTATTAAAGCGTATGCATGAAATGCAATGACTGATGTGATGTGGACAGGTTTATGAGATATTCATAACCGGATAAGAGATGAGTGCATAATTTAAAGAGTTCACACGTACAGGAGTCTCAAAATTTCAGTGACCTATGACAATTTTGTGTCCAAGAATTCAGTGCAGATACAAAACTTTATGAACTGGCACTACAGAGGGTTGAACTTGGTAAACTTAACTGTGTCATGTAAGGAGCGGAATTCTAAAAGGACACAACATATAAGGTGTTAATTCTAGGGAAGACAGAATTTGCTTATTTAAACAATCATCTTGCTGGCAATCTTTAACTTCTAAAATCTGCTCTATACATGACACACTAGAGGTCTTGACTGTTCTTTTTAAATAAAATCACAGAGTTCTGTCTTCTATTCTCTCTGCAACTTGGACACAAAATAACTATTTCTCAATTTGGTGCAACTGTGGGTTAAAGCATTGCTGTAAAACGCGCTCTACGTAACAAAAAACAACCCTTCTAAACTTCCATCATTCCACAATGTCGCTGGAGCAAGATCTTAAGCCGAAAGAGGAAGATCTTAAGCCGAAACAAATTAAGCCAAGTATTGTAAGCCAGCATTGCGTTGTTTATATATTCGCATGTGATATGTGTGATGCAGATTATGTCAGTTACACAGCCAGAAACCTTCATCACTGGTATTCGCAATCCATAACCATTTTTTAGAAGCGCACTGGCTGTCGTGCCATGAAGAATATAAATGCAAACCATTCAGTACAAGAATCAGGTCTGTGCAATATTTCATATGTGAGATATTTGGCAAAATGTTTTACCCAAAATTAAGGTTTTGTATGGAGACGCCATTTGAGGGGCACAAATATAGCTGCCGGAAACCGACAGAAACACCTGTCTTTGACTTTTACGTACATATTACATGCATATTTTATTGGCTCGTCCCCTCAGGGCTTTCTAGAGTCAATGTTGCGATAATAATAATAATAATAATAATAATAATAATAATAATAATAATAATAATAATAATAATAAATAATAATAACAATAATAGTAAAACATAGTTAAACACAGAAGGCTAAAAACGTGAAAGATAACTAACTAAAGAAGATGTCCAGAAGTAGTTGCCTAAGTCGATCCTTAAAACTTGTCACTGGTTGATCTTATTTTCCACAAGTCTACAGGCGAAATTCTGTACTGCTTGGAGATTGTCCAGATTGGATTGAATAAAGGCGTTTAGCTGCTGTAACATCCCATGAACGTAGAAACTCAGAAGAATTATAATAATAATGATGATGATAATAATAACAAAATATTTATATAGTGCTTATACTTTTCAGTGCTTTTAAAATCCATATAAAAAGTAAAAATCGTAGACTAATTTACATAAAATTTTTTCAATGTAGCAGAAATTAAAAAAAACAAAACAAAACAATGATATAAAAGATAGGTCTTCAACTTAGATTTAAATCTATTTTCATCATCGATCGGTCTAATATCAATAGGCAGATTGTTCCAGAGTATAGGGACAATGACTGATAAAGCCCTGGGATCGTATGTCTTTAAGTTATAGGGTTCAATAACAAATCACCACTTGTCAGAAGGTGAGCAAAGGCAGGTTGCAGGTTCATAAACATGCAATAGTTGTACCAGATAACTAGGAGCTTCAAAATCCCGAGGAGGCTCTCTAGTAACTCTTACTTACAGTTGAAATGTACAGTCATACAGTCAATATAGAAAAAATCTCGACTTGCTTGAACAGGGGCCGCGAGGAATCGGTAGGTAATGATGACGTTTCTATTGTTTGCGCCCGCAAGTACGAAATGGTTAGGATGACGTAAAACACAAAAAAATCCCGAAGGGACCGCTTACAGTAGGTAGATTTTGTGACATTCATTGTGCAGTCATACTTCGATACTCTTTTGCGTTACGTGTTATCAGTGACATTCTGTGGAGCAGTTATGGAATGAAAGTTATGGACCAAAAGACACTCGTTAAGCGCAGATGAAGTTATAAGGTGCGTGTAACAGTGTATATTTTAACACTAAGTGAGTTTGCCAGACACGAGTTCACAAATCTTTGATTGGAAACCTTGCCAGACTCTCTTTCTTTGACCGGAATAAGACTCGACCCCAAACAAGCAAGAAGAGTGAATGGTTCAACGGCTAGCTTATCATAAGCAGAACGATGGACGATTACAGAAATTCGCCGACCATCAAATTCTGTGCTAACTTATTCCCTGCTCACAGGTGCCCTTCCACCATAAAGTTTAAAACAAGACTAGAATGCGCGAGCGTGAATTGATCAAACGTCCTTCTAAGACTTACTTTCCGGCAAATAAAATGAAGTAAATGTAAAAAGTGAAATGGCAATAGCAAAAAATTAAACTTCTAATTAAATCTTTTCTTATGGGTTAGAATAAACTATTCTCGAAACTGAGAATGTTTTGATCAAAGCTGTGCAAATCGAACCGAAACTGTGCATGGAACCTTGCGTTGCCTGTATGTATCTCACCTATTGTATGGAATATGTGTGAACATCTTCCTTATGAATCGGTATGTATTTCAAAGAGCTACACAACGAGCAAGAATACTATTGACTGACAATATACAGAGCGGGGGTAGCGGTAGTGTCAACTATTACTAGTTAGTAAGAACTTAAAACATATAAGATTAATCTTAAAAATTATTCTTTGCTCCACTGGTAGCAAGCAATAATTCTCTAAGATTAAATTTTGGTGAGGTCGTGCATAAACCGGGAACATTTTTCACACAAACAACTGTCAAAAATGAAATTAACTCGAAATATGAGCATGGCATTGGCACCTGTGTTTGAATACAGCGTAAATAACCCTGAGCATGACAAGCTGTTGACAGAAATGCTAGTCCTATGCCCAACAGGATGAAAGGTTACTGTAAAACTTAGTGTACAATGTAATTTCTAGATGTTTGTCACTCTGTTACTGTATGTGATATTAGTTATATTGTGTATGAAGATAAACTTTATGCTTGGGTCGCTACATAGGCTTCCATCTTTACTCTGGGAATATGGCTGAACCGAATATGGTCAAATTAGGACTGCTCCATATAATTTACTGTAACTTAAGCCAGGACACAGAGTGTTAATAAATCAGGATTATTTGCGTTCTACCTATTGTAAATCCCGAGTTCAGGTTAAAGAAAGACAACATTCCCATTGCAGCCAAAGTTTTACTAGTTCCCGCTAGATTTAAATGCCCTCAGGGCAACATTTTGTGATGGTAGAAAGTTATTTTTCATGGTACACAACAAGCTGCACTGAATGACACTTGATAGAAAAGAAGTAAGTGTAGGCTAGTAGACATATTGCATGAATAAACCCGGAATTTTTGCTGTTTTTCATTTCACCTGCAGATAGAACAATTATAACCCCCCTTCCCTGAAATCACTGTCAATAGCGTCCCAGAAGCATAATGGTTAAATGTCATGCATGTTTCTGTCTCTTTGTCTTCTAAGTCTGTCTTGGACTATCTTTGGTCTCAAATATTCTTGCACCCTTCTAGGTTTCTGCCAGACGTGCACAGGGGTGGTGTCACTCAAAGAATGATATGCCATACTTTGAAACAAGTGCCAAAGAAGCCATCAATGTTGAACAAGCGTTTCAGACTATAGCGAAAAATGCCCTCGCTCAGGAAACAGAGGTTGAGTTATACAACGACTTCCCAGACCAAATAAAACTCTCTGGAGACAACAAACCAAGATCAAATGACTGTGGTTGCTGAATAGACTGAATCATAGTTTTACATGTACTGTAGTTCTTGAAGATCTTGTCCTAACTTGCAGATGAAATTTCTCCCTTATGAAAGAGACATATTTTCTTTCTGTAACAAAATGGTGTTTGCACTGACTGATTATTAAAAAAGGCACCACAGACTCTAGAAAAATCAAGTCTGACTGCCTTGCATCATGACAGTGCGGGGTATTCAGTTCAAGCCCTTTTACTCTGATTAGTGTTGAAAGTAAAATTTAAGTTTATTTTCATTGCTGAAAATAATAATATCCACAGATGAGTGAGACTGCATGGAAGTATTGCTCTGTTCCCAACTGGTCAAGTGTTGGTTGTGTTTGGTTAATGGTATCCTTTGGATACCATGGACCCATCACAAGTATCTCTTGTCCACCCAAACAATCCCAGCAATCGTTGGACCAATTCTCCCTATAGTTTATAAAATATAGAGTGGGTAGTGCCTTCAATAATGGTTGCACGGTAGGATTTATCCACAGAATTAAAAGCTGGTATTTATTTTCTCATGGAGTGAAAGGGTTTCACCAAATGCTTTTTGTTTATCTAAAATTTTCCGTGTGAAAAAGCGTAGCATTTTGACATAAATGGGAGGGAGATTGACATTTTTTCACACAGTTAGATTGGCTTAATTATCATTTACTTGAAATGTATTATTCCATGATCGCAAATTCAACCAACAAATTACTACTGTTTACTGTATTGGTAGATGCTAGGATGAAACGTACAATATAATAATTCAATAAAAACTAAAAGTTTGGTATACATTGCCAGCATCTTACCTTTTTGTGTGAGAAGATAAAGTCTACTATCATGGTGGTTGAAGGAGAGGAAATGCAGTGTTTCTATGAAAGGTTCTATCTAGAAAAGGGTAGTAAAGGAACGACTGTACGCTGGTGACAAACTTTGTAATAGTCCTCCTGTATATAATTTTTCTCTGACTCCTTATCTTCGCGTTTCCCGTAGCCTGCGAACGGCAGACGTTTCTCCTTCCTCATCGCCGCTGAGAGGCGTTTGCTACCTTTCCCTTCCTTCTCTCAGGTTTATTTTTCATTTATTTAATTTTATTAACTTTACAAAGACAATGCGTACAAACTTGGCCCCAAGGCTGATGGGTATAAAATATTTAAGAAATCATATTGATATTCTGACATTTCTGTCATTTGTTTTATTCCCCTACAACCTCGGAGCTAAATATCAATTTCAATCAGTAATTCAAGAGAGGCTAAGACATAACAAAAAGTGGCCGTGACACCACATAGCGGGCCAATTAATTGTCTACGCTTTACTAACTCTAACCTCTAACTTTGAAATCTATATGTAGAAGCGCAGAAATGCTATTTTCAGTTATTTTCATAGGGTATTACAGTAAGAGAGGAAATCAAGGTCAAGGACTACACATAATCTTTCAATTTGACTGGTAGTTGTGGGTTCCAGATACAACCTGATTCCCAAGGTTCTCTCCTGTAATAGCTACTGCTGTCATTTGTAGGGCCATAGCTTGTTTAGGGCAAAGTGAGGCCCTTGCCTCATCTACATAGTAACCCAAAATTAAAGAACAATTTACTTCAGATAATAAATTAATATTGCCCAGATTGGTTTCTCTAAGGTACCATGATTTATGTTATCGTTGCGCAATTCTTAGGGCCAACACACAGATGACTCCGTGGAGTGAGGTTTTGAGAAAGTTTTCCACTTTCAAGTGCAAGGTAGTGATTACATCCGACTGGGTTACTTGGGTTAATTTTTGCTGGGTATATGCATGCAGCTGGCCTTTCAAATTACCCCTACCCTATTAAACTCTATTCTGTGGCCAAATAAAGACCCCATCTTAGTCACTCTTGGGAAAATGTAATTTTCGTGATCTTAGTAACTTTCCGTTAAATGCATCTACCTTTTAATCTAAACAACAGTGTGACAAGGAATTTGTTATCACACCTTGAGATCCTCGTGTAATTATTATTGTGAGTACTGGCATGGCACAAAAGTTTTGCTAAGTTTAAAACACCTCTAGGATGAAATAAAACGTGCAATTTAAAGTTCTAAAAAATATAATACTATTGATCACTTTCGGACTCGTCCTGGACCATTTTTGGAGGAGAAAACGTCTATTTTCTTGAACTGTTATTATTACTAACTAAAAATCATTTGCATCTACGAACATACGACTTCATAAAAGTGTCAGGGGCAGCCCATTAGAAAATTTATGGAGCGGATACAGTACAAAAAATATATTCATGCAAGGGGAAATTAACTACTAAGAAATAAGGGAATGTGAACGAAGAAAATTCATGCAGTTCAAAAATTCTCCACCCCTGCCACAACGTTTCTGATGGTCCAACCCTTATGACACAAGCTTACATAAGTAGCATCAGCAGAACAGACTAGGTATGCATTTACTAAGAGGGTTCTCATCAATTGATTCCTCCAAGACAGACATACTTAAGTTCAAGGAAGTCCTCTATTCCATATTTAGAGCCCTCTCTTCCTAGCCCAGATTGCTTCCAGCCACCAAAAGGAGCAACCTCGGAGGAGATGATGCCCTCATTGACTCCCACCATACCAACTTCCATGGATTCAGCTACACGCCAGATTTGACTGAGATCTTGTGAGTAGAAATAGCCTTTGAGAACAAAATAGAGAAATTAACTGCCCAGCAGATACTGACAAGTCTTACACCAAACGAAATCAGAGTTTCAACTTGCCTGAGGCCCCCAGACACTGTACAGCAGTCCTAACTAAAGAATGCCCGTTATCCTCGGGGAACCGGGGGCAGCTAGTCGGGACGATAGAATGTTCGTGGTGAAAGTTGATATTAATCACCATGAACATTCTATCGTCCCGACTAGCTGCCCTTGGTCTCCGAGGATGAATGCCCGTTAGACTAGGGACATTTCACATTGATTTATTGCCAAGGATGAATACGTTTCTAACAATTACATGTTAGATGGAGGAGGTGTTATTGGCCAAGATGACAGGTGCAGCCTATGCTTTTAAATCCCTGCACGACTCTGAGTTTTTTCTTTGTCTCACACTCAATCAGCCATAAGTTTTCTGATTTCTTAGGACTAGGTTTTCAAGTGGATTGTTCCCAAATTTCGCCCCTCTGTATTTCACTGAAAATTTACCATAATTTTCCTTGATAATAAATAATTCTTAACTTATTTTCTATGAACCTTTTTAATAGACAAAGGTAGCCATGATTGACTCCATAAACCGAAGAAACAATGAAATCTGGTGGTACCATCCACCTTGGTGGAGTTTCAACTGTAAGGGGGGAACTTTCTTGAGATTTTGAATATATTTTATATTAACTGATAAATCTACCTAGGAAAATAAAACATGGGATCCTACCTGCCAGCCCAGCTGAAGTATCATTAGCAATTGTCACAGCTTCGTCTTCACTTTTAAACCTAAGAACCAATGATAAAGTAACATTATAAAATGGAGTAAAACAAATAAAAAAGGAATGAAACAAATTATAATATTAACGCTCTGTTCATTAACTCAGATAAGGAAAGGAAAAATAAAATTAAGCACAAATATCAAGTAGGATAATATAACCTGGGCATAAATGAAACATGAAGATAGGGGCTTAAAGGACAGTGCAGGAATCCGATGAAAAATAACCAGGCATGCATAGAAAGTAATTCACTACAACTATATAATTATGTGAAAAATCATGTGAAAGCCATTTGAAAAAAAGACCTGTTTCGCCTGACATGCAAATATTCAGTAAATTATATATGTGTAGTTGACTGGACATTTAATATTTCATATACATACTGGGAGCTAGGCCGGTTGATATTTATGATCATGCATGATCTGTTAGTTGCAATCAATATTGATTGCAACATAAATGAGCGCCGGGGGGGGGCACTTTAGGAATTTCTGGGTGGGACTGTGCCACTGGGAGCCTGGAACCCTTAACCTTTACCAGAGCTAGTTCAGCTGAATTTTGCTACCCTATACTAGAGTAAACTCCCCAAATCCCCCTATACTAGAGTAGCTGTGTACCTAGTCTAGATAAAATCTTCAACCAACTGATCAGTTTCCTGAAGAATGATACCCTATTCTAGACCCAAACGCTCTGATTTATATACCCTATCCTAGAGTAAACTGCTTGAAAACCATACCCTTCACAGCGGCACATACCTATATAGCCCATATATGGCAGT